GCAGGATTGTTCTCCTCTGCCCTCGTCTCTCCTCTGCCTTTATTATCTTTACCTTCCCTCGTTCAGCTCTTCTAATATCCGCCTAGCTATTTGTTGCAGAATAACTGCTCCCACTTCCTTCTCTACTTCTTCCCATATTATGATCACGTTGTTTCTCCTCTCCCTTTTTCTTTTCTCTCCCATTCTCTCTATATATCACTGAGTCATTTTCAAATTCAGTATAATAATTATGTAATGAGTGTAACACGAATTAACACTTGTATTTCAATGAAAAACATGTACAGAGTCTATTTAACCTTTCCTTGTCTAATAAAATTCGTGTAATGTTCAATAGAATATTGAATGTCGATACTAAAATAATCACTTCATGTTCAACAACCTAATATTTTTTTATGGTACTACAACTTACTGGACACCCTGTATGCAAAAACGTTCACGATATATATTAGATTGTTACTGAATCACTGAATCAACAAGCGACTTTTAATTCCTTATGAAGCCTTTCTGAAATGCATTGTCACTGGTTAAGTATTCTAAGTAAGTATAGAATATTAAAAATTTGTACATGTACAACGTCTCGAATCTTCAGTAAGCCATACTTCAAAGATCATTTAATGGAATGGCACGGTTAAAGTTTATTATTCTCACAGGAATTTTCAGTGGTAAAGACGATTCAGAGTTATTTCAAAGAAAACGTTCGCCCTGTTGGATATCATAAGAGATAGCTATAAAGTTACGGATAGTAGAGATTGTTGCGTTTTACGTTTACCTTCCAGCGCCGTGCACTCTAAGATGTACATATTTTTAGTTGCGCCAGAAAGGGATATAAGTCAAATGTTTCCACTTTTAAAATATTGCCGCTTAAAGTTTGAAACATCGAATTGTTGCTGTTATCGGTTGGTTATAATATGCTTATTGGGTTCTACATGATTTTTCATGATATTCAAATTAATATGGATAATACAGAAAAATACTATAATGCAAGAAGACTATTCTACATTTTTTTATGGCCCCATTAACACACGCAATACCGGACAGGGAAGGGGAGGGGGGAGGGAGTAGTGGCGAGTTCTATTATAATGCCCATCACATTAGAAAATATTCTTTCAAAGAAATTTGGTAAAGGAAAAAAAATAATCAAAAATAGTCGTCAATGCGTAAAGGACTCCCATAGCAAACGTGAAAAATACAATAAACTAGACAAAAAATTGTTGTAGGACAGGATTATGATTCGTATTTTGTAACGACCTCTGTATTCTTCACAAAATTGTTTATGAAATTCTTTATTTACAATTATTTCAAGTTCAGTGCAATACTTTATTTTATACCGTTTATTCCTAGATATATTTAAAAGTTTAAAAAGTTTTACATACATCTAGGAATAAAGGCTATAAAATAAACATTCCATTGAATTAAAAAAAATGATTTTAAAGTAAAACAAATTTTTTGTAAGACATAGGTTTTCATTACAAAAGTGGGAATAAGTTTATGTAACAAAAAAGTCTTGATATTTCAAGCGTTGAGTAACGCAACAATTGGATTTTGTTGTAAATAAATTATATATATATATATATATATATATTATGCAAACAAATGTGATTTTAGTATGGATTTATATACAGGGTGTTCATGCAGTTACTAACTATTGTTTTTAAATATACGAAACAAATGAAAGAGAAAAAGTGTTACTGCTTTTCATAACTAACACAATATAATATGGAAAGTTTTTATGTTGACGATATGTTTTGATATACGAAGGCCATTGCAGCTTGCATAGTTGAATTTATCGTTGAATCAAAGGTCACGGTTCTCGATAAATATGGCAAACATAAAAAATTTATACGCGCTATCGCCATTCATATACTTACTTACCAGTTACGAGAAAGACGATGGCTAATAATTGCGTTAACACTTTGTATAAGTATTTTGTTTTCCAAATTCAATTTGAAGTGATTTTCAATGAGCCAATAAAGTTTACCAACAATCTGATGTAACTAATTGCATTGCGTTTCGATATGCGTTCTTTAATGCAGTTTTCTATCTAAGTACATGCCCAAGTATGTAGCCGTATCTTCTTCCGAAATAATTTCTTAACATATCTATTACTGTAGGTATCCATATTATTACAGTTTTGTATTTTCCATATATAAAGCCATAATTTATTATTCCAGTTTCAAATAATTTAATTATGGGATTAAAGTAGCTTCAACAGTACAGTTTAAATCCAGGTTTAAAATGTTATGCATGGAACACTGTTCTTGATATGTGAAACGTTGGAATTTTCTAAACGAGATCATTGTGGTTTTTCCAATAATTGCGATACCTGACCCGGAATTGTATCGCCGCTTAATATGGCACATGTAAACTCGCTGGCTTGATTGTGTGCTTTCGCCGTTTTCGTAGAAATTGTTGAAACCGATGGAATTCTTAGAGATATCACAACGGATTTCAGCTATACGACTCTATCTGCTGTATTCGAATTATATTTTGTTTCAAATGAATTGCGTTGGACTGCATAAAACAGTAGCGTCCGATTTCCTAACATAAGTTCAGTAAATAAATTATAAGTAATTATTATAATATAGAAACATTCAATATTTTCTCCTTGTGTTATAATTTACTGAATTTGACGTTCAAAGGTTTTGATATCTTTGGAACAATAAATTCACTGAAAGCTCTTTTATTGGTTTATCTGTTTTCAATTGTTTGTTGTGGATGAGTTGACTAAATATTTGAAAAATATTGATAAATTATACAGAAATTCTGTTCATTCGTACATCAAAATGGGAGTTGATATACAGATGAGTAAGACTTACACGGGTATTTCAATGTAAGTAATAAATAAGAAAGACTAAGAACATTATTTTATTAATAGCAATAGAACACTTGGTATATCAAAGCGGAATTTTCACTATGTGTTAAAACGACAGTTCGCTATCTATCATCAAGTCAATGTTAACACATTTTCCGTTAATCATGAAATATTTCGCGTTCTTTACGTAAAATTATGTTTTTTGCATCTTCTTTATTATCATATACAGGGTGTTCCAGCTGAAGGAGACCACTTAAATATCTCATTGCTTTTTAATGATATGAGAAATGGTTTAAAACACAATTTAATTAGTTTAGAAAGAAAAATACCGTGGAAGAAAAACATTTTTTATGGTCATTCTTTCCGTATTTTTTCAAAGTCACCGGTATTTTTTGCAAGAAAACATATATATTCTGTTCTATTGCATCTAGTAATAAGGTGAAACATGCACTCGATTATATGTAAATTATGACCTTAAGATGACTTTGGACCCCAAAAAAGTGATTAGATTCATCAGAACAGTGACCTTCCACACCTTCCTCTTTTGTCATGAATGAGATACAAACACCAACTGAAGATGAGAGCCAACAGGAATAATTCCCAAGAAAATAATATTGTCTTTTGTTGCAAAATCACCCTGCCTACGATGGTCACATTTTTAATTTCAAGTGGTTTCCCTGAAAACGTGAGTAGTTATGCTATATGAAGGAAACAATTGGAAGCACAAGCATGTGTTGGAGGAGTCCACCACTAGACAGCGCTGCTTTACACAAGCAGTATACGGTGTAAACAGTGGGATAGGAACGCATGATAATCCAGAATTTGACTGTAGTCCTGTAGGAAAATTTGAGTTGACTTTCTTTCAGGAATGCGTTGTAGGTACCTTAGTAAGTATTTTTGACCTGGGTGGACATATAAAATATACGTACTATATAATAGCCGGAAAAGTATAAGCAAACAGTTAACAAAGTATTGCAATTCGCCTCATAAATAATAACTATAACATATTGACACAATTTCTAAAAAAAAGTTTTATGATTAAGCAGCTGTCATCTTTGATGGCGCCATAGCGGGGATGACGTACCACGTGCATCTCCCTACTCAATTTTCCTACAAGACTGCAGTCAAGTCCAGGACTACAAGAGTACTCGCCATTGGGTAACATGTATGTGACGGATACAACGTTGATTGTACTACTCACTTGCTGAGGGCAGGAGGGCAAAGCAGAAAGATCAGTCGATTGTCCGGCAGACTTGAGCCGTACATGAGGCCGATACACGAGTCGGAGCCCGATAGCCCGTACCTCTTGCAAATGCTTCGTAGGTCCGCTTCTCTGTCCCGATCACAACAGCCGATCATAACTTCTTTGACGGAGCTCAAATCCAAAAATCCCTCTTCCAGCGTCACGGACGCGCATTCCGACTGTTGGGCCGTATACCTCCCCGATAAACTGGCTGGCACGGGGTCCTCTGGATTAGCAGTCAGCGAGAATTCCGTGAAGGCTGTACCACCGATCTGAGCAGTCTTTAGAGGACTCCAGGGTGGCTTCTCCCAAAGGAAAGTCCCGCAGGCACGATCCACCCGCCCAAAGACCAAAGCAGTCCTTGTAGTGCCTCCTTCGGAGTCCCAGTGCACCAAGGTTGATCCATGATGCAGAACCTGATAAAAAAACCTTGCTATTAAGGGGTGCTGTCGAATACAGAGTACAAACGATATTATTGAAGTAGACAGAAAATTTGTAAGATCATGAATTGAAGCAGGCTTAGATCGACTGGTGAACAGAGGCGTAGTGGCAAATCGACATTATTTTCTAACACTTTAAAACAATATGACACAAATGGTCTTACAATGTTAGAAAAAATTTATTTCTTTTCGTTTTTACTTATTTTTTCTTATAGAATTACCTCTTGTCCGGTTGCACTACCCGACCCGAGACACCCCATATAATATCTTTCAGATATCTATAAGATCTCTTTTATCTCTTATTATTAGATGTATCATCAACCAAGAAGTGTGTATCAACTTTAAGTGAAAACTGTCATCCTACGCGTTGTGCAGATCAAATGGCTACTTTCGCTTCTGCAGCTGGTTCTTTCCTACTTTATGTTTTACAAGTACCAGAACTAGCTCTTTATTTAACTAATCGTAAAAGCAAGTCACGTTACGTGTCTCATGTACATACGGCGTAAGAAGCAGATAACGAAGTGTGTTTGATGCCGTGAGAACATTGAAAGAATCAGGCATTAATAGTAGAAGTACCTACCTTTTTGAGATAAAAGAAATGTAAAACGATAATTTTCATCTGAAGTGACAAATGAGAACATCGTTCAACAAATTTTAACTTTTCTTCGGACTTTTAACATTCAATAGTCATTTCTTATAGATTTTTGTACCCTGAATGTGAATCTGCAAACGGTTTTACTCCAGCTTCCTCAGTTACTGCGAAATTTGATTTTGAAAAAAGAATTATCAACTTTGAACATTTCCTGTGTTCAAACAGTAATAGTTATTCGGTTGATTGTTGCGTAAAATTATTCTATAAACTCTGCCGAATAAAATGGTGTATGTACTTATTGCATTATGAACATTTAAACATGTTTAAACAACGATAAAAAGGAAAAAGACACTCGAAATGCACCAATTTTTGTAGATATTTTACAGTTCATTTGAAAAAGTAAGGGCCTAGGAGAAAATCTGACTACACCACGCGATACAGCCGACATTTTTTCGTCGGAAAGAATCAACAAAAGTAGTAACCCGCGTTCTGTTTTCAATACGGAAACGAAATTGATTCGTAAAACATGCAGCGTCGACTGCACTCAACCGCGCGGCGGCAGACCATACCGTACTCTAGTTTCACTAACAACTGCCGCCGCCGCGCCGCGCCGTTGAGTACCACTATAGACGCCACATGTTTTGTCAAATTGTTTCGTTGCAGAATTAAAAACAGAACGCGACTCACTACTTTTGTTGATGCTTTACGAAGAAGAAATGTCTGCTGTATCGCGTGGTGTAGTCAGATTTTCTCCTAGACCCTTAGTTTTTGAAACAAATTGAGGAATATCAGCAAAAATTGGTGCGTTTTCGGTGTCCTTTTCATTTTGAACATTATTTGAACATATTTAGATATTTATAATGTAATAACTAGACTGGGGATTTTTATGCAAAATGTTATTTTCTAAAGCAATTCATACAGGCAAGAGCAATATCATAGCAAGTATCATATTCGGTTCCGAATAAATCAAAAAACTTATTGGATCTGATGAAAGTTTTGTCTTTTATTGTATTTTACAAACCCCTATAGGCTATAAATGCATAAAATCCGCAGTCTAATAATAACAATTCATATTATTTTGTTCGGAAAAGTCCAGAGAATTATTTAGCATTAGAAAAAAACTGAATAACTATTACTGTAAATGCACAACACAGCTCCAAAGTTGAAAATTTGCAATTTTTGTAAAAATTTATTTTTTCAAAAACAGGATGTGCTGGAAAGAAGCAGTTTGCAGATTTGTATTCAGCTCATAAAAATCTATCAGAAACTCCTATTGAAAATTGCAAAATTTTTACGTGTTTGATCGTATAATTACAGTGTATGTATTCCCCTATTTGATTTCAAATTCCTTTTTAGCAAAAAATGACCATTTTCGAAATACCTTCCAAATGTTCTGAAAACTACTTTACTTATCATTTTGTTTTTGTTAAAATATATGAGATGGTAATGTTCTCTGATTTTTCCAATATTTGTGAAATTAGTTCGTACAAATTAATTTGTTATGTTCGAAATACTTTGAATATTTAAATACGACCCTATGGTAGGTGAGTAGCGTATCCTTCGAGTGCCCTAGAATTACATTTTGATGCACGAAGACCCGGCCTAAATTTGAATTTTAATTTCTCGAAAACGAAGAGAATTATGAAAAAATTTTATTCCGCATTGTCTAGATAATTTTTCCTGACAACGTCTACCTACCGAATTATATTATCGATTACGATGCATTCTGCATGTGTGGCCAGTGCTAAATTTCTATTACATAACAAAGAATATATTCGTCATTTTTTAAACAAAACTGGCATTAATCGACTATTTAAAACTGAAACAAGTAGTGTCTAGCAAAATGTGTACAACATTAAATGCGGTTAACGTGTTATAGAGATTATTTCAAAGCTAATGCTAGAAAGCATACAAAAGTTTTGTTGTCATGTATATAATATTTTACGAATATTATAGTTATATGAACGTAATGTTTTATTCATTGCGTCAGAAATGAAAACTTATGGGTTTACTACTAACTGTAATTAATTTTGAGTTAGTCTATCATCAGTACACTAGAGAAGTGATTAACTACCTCATTACATTTTATAAAATTGTACTCTTTCTTGAAGAATGAGACACAACTATTGTTAATAATGAAAATTCCTTTGCATCCTTTTTACCATATTACAAGTGACATCACCTTTTAAAATGTCACCGGATTTAATTATTTTTTTAACTATTATGGAATAGTTACGCAAAATAAATTTGCCATAAGGTCGAAAGTAAGGGACAAAAGATTTCAACATTTTCTTACGTCGTCAATTAGATGAGTTTCATTGGAAACATATTCTTCTAACGTTAATCCTTCCTATCTTGTTAAATTCAATGCTTCTTTTTGCGTTGTATGACTTCCTTCGATACAGGTGAATGAACAAAGAGAATTTCGTTTCAGCTACGATATCCCTCTTTATATTATAGTAAGAATAACATTAATTCCTTTAGTGACTGATGCATTTCATTGTTAGTAAGGAGATAAAAATTTGAACAATCAGCGTGGAATGTCGAACAAGCACTGTATAGTTTAATTACCGTCCATTTATTGGATTGAGTCGATTACTGAGTATGTTTAAAAATGATTAATAGACAAAATAATATGGGAATCATTAGGAAACAAAAGCTTTGCTGTCAATATACAGGGTGTCTCAGAAATGTCTCTCTTCTGGGAAATGAAGGGTTGCTGGGATGATTTGAAACCACTTTTTCCTTAACGAAAATGTTATCTGCGGCTTTGTTAACGAGATATTAACGAAAAACCCCGACCAATCAGAGCGTTAATTTGCTAGCCGAGTCTCCGCAGTAGCGGTGGCTACACGCTACGCTTGTACTATGAAGCTCCGAACAAGCAAGTTGGCATGCATCCCAGGAAACCGCGTATAATAGCAAATAAGAAAAACATAACAAATCGAACTTTTTATCATCATTCGTTTGTCATTTAAAGTGATGAATGAATGAAAGATAAATGTAAGAAAATCATGTGTAACGTAAAAAGACGAATACACAATAATTTTTTTAAACAGAATCTTTAAGAAGTCCGACGAAAAATGTAGGTACGGAAACTTGTAGAATTATTGCCAGGAAAAAGTCATATGTAGCTTGCGTTAAATTAAAAAAATAATAATCAACAAAAAATTGAATAGAACTCACCCTTTCGGAAATTCACCTGCAGCTTGCAGACTTGTGTCAGTAGGTCACTGTACGGATCCTGGTCATCGACGACTGAAGCGGTTTATGGCAGGGTATCGCCCAGTCCACAGGTGATCGCAGGTATACCTACCAGCCGAAGTTGAGGGTTGTTACGACAAGTGCGTCCGGGTTATTCCACCGAATACGTATTCACTTCACTGCACGACCACTAACACTGATGAGCCGACACGATCACTTAATGTATTTTTAATCGAACGTGTTGTTCCAACGTTAGGAAAATTGGTGGCCCCGAAACGGGCCGATTATTTACAATTTATCACATGTTTTACGTAGCCAAACGGTTGCTCAGTAGCAGCCGCATATCCGTTATTCTGTGCGTACCACCAGACCATTGCGTAATACTCCCGTGAACTGAACATCTCTGTCGCCAGATTGCTAACCGACTGACAGAATTTTTCCGAAAGGGTTTCCTCTACCCCCAAGTAGTTTCTCATCGTTACATTGTGAGTTCACTCCCACCGTGGCAACAAGATTTCGATAAACAGAAGCCACCATTCTAGGAAATCACGTGCTTTGCAGAAGTGCAACAAATGAACCCTCGTACAGTTTCACTGAAGCGGGGGCTCCGTTAATTTATTGCCAGGATACCCATTGCTTCGAGATAGAAAGCAGAAACTACGTTTTCTTGAGGAGCAGGAAGAAAAATTTCACGAACACATGTTGAGTTGACGCTGCTTGGCCCTGTCCGAGCACTTTAGCAGAGGCCAGAGCGGACGTTTCGCTACAGGACCCAGGGAACTTATAAAAGTCAAATATGTAAAGTGTTCAGTATGCAGGTATAAACCTGGAGACTGAATTTCAACCATTGGAGGAATCAACCAGCGTCGCATACCGTAACAGAAGTATCTAGAAATCGTAAAAATGCACTATCTGTTTAATTATACCCGTTGAAGTACTCCATCTTATACAAAATAGGAGAAGGCCACTCCAGATTATTTCAATGAGGTAAAAAACAATATCGATAGGGAATCATAAAAGTAAATCATCGTAAAATAACATAAATATAACAAACAAAACAAGTATAAGTATTTAATTATTTAATTATCAATTATATTATAAATTGTACTTAAATTATTATTTTTTTATATTTGTGTAAATTATAAATTATCATTGAGACTTTAATATTGTTTTTAACCTC